AGCTTCTCAAAAAGCATTTACAGATGAGTTAGATGTTCATTTTCATTTTTGCTTGCGATAAGAAGGTCATCTATGTAAGCGTATACGAAAGGTAAGCCACGTACTACTTGGTCGATAAAACGCTGGAAACTTTGTGCAGCATTCCTTAATCCGAAAGGCATGCGAACAAATTCGTATAATCCAAATGGGGTAGTAATGGCTGTTTTGGGAACGTCGTCCGGGTGAATTGGAATGTGATGGTAAGCGCGGACGAGATCAACTTTTGAAAAAATCGTCACATCAGATAGACTATGAGTGAAGTCATGCAAATGTGGAAGTGGATATCTGTCTGGTATAGTACGGCTGTTGAGAGCTCTATAGTCACCGCACGGTCTAACTTCGGAAGAGTTTTTCTTGGGTACCAAATGGAGCGGTGATGCCCACGGACTATCGGAGGGGCGTATGATACCCAACTCTATCATTTTGTTGAATTCGTTCTTTGCTAGAGCCAAACGAGAGGGGTCAAGGCGTCTTGGACGTGCGAACACTGGTGGACCCTCTGTCTTTATGTGATGTACGACGGTATGTGTCAGTTTATCCCGTTTGAAATTCGGTCGTAATAAGTCTGGAAACTGATTAAGTAAACTAACGTACTTGTCATTCTCGCGATGAGGTTTGATCAATAAATGTATGGACGTCTCGTTAGAAATAATCCCTCTAATTTCGCTGCTATGGTCAGCAAGGACAAGTTTCCGATTTCTTACATCTACGAGTATTTTATGGGATTGTAAAAAATCAATGCCGATTATAGGAATGAGGACGTCAGCTATGATGAAGTTCCATGAAAAATTGGATTTAGGACCGAAATTTAATTGTAACTGCCTTTTGCCGTACGCCTTGATCTCAGATCTGTTTGCGGCTTGTAGTTTTAGTTTGGGGTCAGGTGTATTTTTCTCAAGTGTAGTGGGTGGTACTACACTAACCTCTGCCCCAGTGTCGACTAAGAACTGTGTTCCAGTCCTTTTGTCTGTAACATATAACAAGCGACTGCTTTGAGAGTTGTGTTCAGCGACTGCAGTCGTCATTAACCGACGTTCATGATGGTCTCTTTGTTGTGTGCTTGCGAAATTACAGGGAGGAGTACATTTTTTAGCTTGCTTACCGTACGTTTTATGGTACCAACAAATGTTATGTCGAGTGGTGCTTGGACTACGACTTTTACGGCTTCTAGACCTTCCTTTCCGCTTGCTGTGGGAGGTATTCAAAAATTGGAGCTGAGCTATCTGATTAGCGAGGACTTCGACTGTTCGTCGCAACTCGGCGATCTCGTCAGATGAGTTTGATTGTATGTGAGATACGGAGTGCGTCCTAGTTCGCTCGTAAATTCTATCGGCTATATCTGCTAGCTTCGTCTCCGATCGCTAGTATCTGTTGGATGCTTTGTGGGAGACGTCTGAGCCACAATTGATAGAATAGACGTTTATCTACTGTACGATTCCCCAATAAATTTGTCATGTGGCGTTTCAATTGAGATGGTGTACTGTCACCTAGCTCTACATTAGCTAAAAGTTGATCAATTGTTTGCTGGTCGGTGAGAGATGTAACACGAATGACCTCTCTTTTTAGACAATCGTATGGTGAGTCTGGATCCGGTTTAAAAATGACGTCAGACACTTGTTCTATAACATCGTCTGGCAGCAATGAGTTTGCATAACTAAATTTTGTGTTCTGATTTGTGATTCTGTTTGCAACAAAAAAGCTTTCTAAGCGTGCAAACCACAGTTCGGCCTTTCGGGGATTAAAGACAGGTAAAGGTACAGAGATGGCACCCACGGAAATAGACTTAGATGAAAGGCTTGGTGAATTATCAAGTGACATGATACGAAGAAATAATAACAATAGCAATAATAATAAGCTGAGGATTGAAATATATGATATGAATAAGTCGAAAATAACAACAAGAAATATATATGAGACTCACCGAAAACAAAGGTCACTTTGAGTTTAAATAGGCAAATATAAAGTAATAATTCCAAAGCAACAATGTTATAGATGAATTTACTGATTGTCAATGTATTGTTAATAATTGCAATAGTAATTCCAATATGAAGTTCTTTATGATTGGAGAATATGCAGCAGACTTTGTAGAGGAACAGGAGCGTGTTCTAAATTCGGCTCACCAATTTGTAGAGGTTAACAAAGCTTGTTGAGATAAATTTCCTCTATATTCGACTCCCAATAAAGATATCTCATTAACCGAGTATTTAATACAGGCTTAATCTCCTAGTAGAATTATCGATTTACTCGAGATCATTAAAAAGCCCAAAAATCAGTTATAGAGATAGTTTATTGTGAAAGCTTGGTAAAGTCCGCAAGCATACAGCAAGCAAGCACCGAGTGAGTCAAAAATCAAAGTGTGTGTGTCTGTGTTAAAAGATTCATATATATTTTTGAGTATCAATCAAGTGTAGATAAATTATTGATTATCTATGTGTCACAACCAATGGGGAATAGAATAGGGATTGAAGTGCAGACACACGCTCAATCATACTCATATGGAAATTAACACAGTTGTGTAGACAAATAATACATTAATGGAATGGGCTTGCTACAGAGTACCAAAGAAGTACATTAACCTTATAAAGGCTCTCTACTCGAACACAACTGGTCGAGTGAGAGCTTATGGCGAACTGTCATCAGAACTGATTACCTCAAGTGGTGTTCGTCAGGGCTGTCCACTCTCTCCATTCTTGTTTAACTTTATCATTGACGTGCTTTTAGAAACAACACTTTCCACATCTGACTCCAAGGGTTGAACTTTTACCGAAAGATTCACTTGTTGACTTAGAGTATGCCGATGACATAGTTCTATCTAGTGAAGACGCTGACAAAATGCAGAGTCTGCTGACCACTCTAAGCAACAATGCAGGCATGTTCGGCATGCGATTTTCTCCCTCGAAATGCAAAATGTTGCCTCAGGATTGGGTTGCGTCGACACCCGAACTAGTGATAGGGAGTGAGGTAGTTGAGCGTGCCAACCGCTTCACTTATCTTGGAAGTCTCATCAGCCCTTGTGGTCTGGTGTGTGACGAAATCTCAGCACGGATACAGAAGGTTCGACCAGCTTTTGCCAACTTGCGTCATTTATGGCGTAGGCGAGATATCCGTCTATCAACCAAAGGACGTGTTTACTGCACAGCAGTTCGTTCCGTCCTACTTTATGACAGTGAAACATGACCAGTAAGAGTAGAGGATATTCGTAGGTTGCTAGTATTTGATCATAGATGTCTTCGAAACATTGCTCGTATATACTGGGACCACCGAGTAAGTAATGCAGCTGTTAGGAAACGGGTACTAGGTAAGGATGGCAAATCAATTGATGAAGTAGTGAAACGTAATCAGTTAAGATGGCTGGGACATGTGTTGCGCATACCCGACCACCGACTACCCCGACGTGCGATGTTTTATGGTGTAGGAGTAGGTTGGAAGAAAGCTAGGGGCGGCCAGACCAAAACATGGCACAAATCCATGAAGTCACTGACAAGTGGACTGAGCCATGTTGGTAGATGTAGACTACTTGGTTGGGGACCGCGAATGATAGCAACCGATAGTTAGAGACCTTGAATGACATGGCTCAAAATCGCTTGCAATGGCGCAGGTGCATCCACTCTCTGTGTTCTCCCAAACTCTAATCTTCTGAATTCTCCATGTCCTTTATTTTCTTTCCAAATATATCCCACTAGACTATACTCCTTAAATAACATCATCAAACCTTAATGTTCCCTGTCACTACTTATACTTTCACTACTCTACCACTACGGGATTTGAATCGATAACTGAATCTCTGTGCTAATGTGGTATGGCAACTCAAACTGATGTACATACGTACGAAGTTCCACGTTGTTACTGACTGACAATAATGTTTGTACTTATTGTATCGAATGAAGTAGCGTATAATAGATGTCGCTCACAACCTAATGGACATAATGTTTTTCTTCCGTACAGAACCTAAGTTGCTTTAATCAAATTTTTTGTTACATCAGACATCGATGTACCCCTATAGATCATCTGCACTGCAGTTTTTTCGATTTTAATGCACGCCTACACTATAGTCTAAACGCTTACAGGTGGATCACTCACTTCAACCAACAGACGATTATTAGATCGATCAACGTAGACAGGGAATCTCTGAGGATGAACCGTAAGAATAAAATACACATCGAAATTTGGTGCTCGTATATTCTGAGACAAAATCCCACTCAAATATTCTTGGTTTGCCTCTCACTTAGATGAGAGATACATGTAATAAAAAGCAATACAATAATAGCTCTGGATGTCCATCAATTCTCCAAACTTTTAGAAGACATCTGCAGTTGGGTTTGCTATCAAATTATGTAGTGTAGCTGATTGTCTGTGTCAGTACTTATTAGAAGACTTATGTTGCGTGTTCTGGTCAATTATACGGTTTCGGAGGAAATACATACTTGAGAAATTCGTTGCAGAACTGTAGTGTCGGGATGAGACCAACTTTAAGCCCTTTATAAAAGTCCTGAGAAATTTACGATCTTTTTCAAACAGGAAATAGGAGTATGTATAAGTACAGCGTGTGGAAAATTAATTGTGCTAGCACTTGTGTGTAGGTTTCAAACTAAATTGATAAACTAAAAGTTGGGATGAAAGCCATTTTATTCCCATAAGAAGACTTTAAATCACAAAATGAAAACAAGTCTCACAGACCCCATTTATCAATATCTTCCTAAAAACTAGTTAATCTATAGAAGCATAACAGCTTTCCACCTTTAGATACGATTTTAATTAAACAAATTTGATAAATTGTCTTAAATGGGACGAAAGCAAAGCAAGTAGCAGTCTGTAATATCTATTTGTACGATTACAAATCATTTGGACAAATTTTTGGCTTTTCTTATTTCTAGCACATCAGGTCTTCCCATAGTTTTGAAATGCAATAATATAAACTCATGTTACTTCCTAATCTACCAAGATGAAAGTCTACAACTTACCTACAAATGAATGATGCTTTCGATATCAGCATTTCAGGAAAAACTACCCTTTGTTAGACTAGGCAGCTAAAACGAAGATAAAGGTAAGGCTAGTCATTACAAAAGTACTGTACATTGAAATTTATTGGAATACAGTCCATTCCACAAGCAAGCAAAATTTAAGCACCCAATGCATCAATTTTAGTAAAGATAGTAAAATATACACATATGTGTTGCCCTACTACCTTTTCAACTCGGAATCTAGCAGTTTAGATAGCTGACTGTTTGAACACTTATCTGTTATTATCATTTGTGAGCATAACTCAATACTAAATATCAATAGTTGGTCCCACCACTACAAATCAAATACAGTGAGGCTACAACTTATGAACAACCTTCGAGTAACGCTGAAGTGACCTTAAAACAACTCATCTACTTACTAGAGTTATGAATTAGTTATATGATTTGGAGTGAAAAGTTAGACAAAGGGCTTTCATCACGAACTGACATCAGATATAATCTCAAAATGCAATTTAATCATATAGATGAACGATTTTCACGCCGGAACCTAAGACTTACTATTCTTAATCCCATTGTTTCGTTTATAAATTGTAGTCTCGTCAGTAAGGGTAAATGTGAAGTCTTGTATGGTGTCTCATAGTAGATCAGACTCACATCACTGCAGCTATTAAAAAATACTAACAGAAGGTAATATCAAAGCAACAAAAAGTGAATTAAATGAAAAAGGATGAGAAGCGTAAAGTAACACGAAACAGATTGTTGCACAGATTTTCCCATTGAGTAGGCACGTATATCACTTGCTCAAGAAGTGATGTTAGTAAAAGCGAATACTCTCCCAAACTCAAATTACCAATACGTCGATTCAAGCCTCAATAAGTCCAAGTGCTTTGGATCACTATTTCTTACTATTTTATTGTTTGATATAGTTATTTTTATTTTAAGAAGTTAGATAACCCAACTGTTAATATTGTAACCCTACTACGGATTAACATTGAACAACAAAACAGCAGCTTGATGACATTTTAACTATGTCTTTATGATCAGCAAATTCTTCTAGTCCACTGTACATATAAATCTTCGACTCGTATTAGTGAATAACAGCCCTGTAACTCATTAATATTCATAGTTCAGGGGAAACCAAATTAAAACCAAGCATCAGGACTTGACCCCACTGATCTAAGTCATGTGAGTAGGTAAAGACAATAGTTTCTATCACGTATATACTTGATTGACGCCCACGCAATTAGCGTGACTAGTTGTTGAGAACACTGTATACTATAAATCAGAATCAGTTGCAATGTAACAATATGGACAGAATTTTTGTCTCCCCTAAGATTCTGAGAGTCAAAATTACTTTGCTTTCCAGAATTCATGAATTGCTGAACAAATGAGTTTTCGTATTAACATAATTCCAGCACCGTTTTATATATAAAAATTATTTTCGACAACTTATTTACAGATTCCCAGAAACTATTTGTTACGTATAACAGATTGTTAACATATTAAACGTAAAATGCCTAACCTTGAGATACGGGATAGATTTGGACTAGCCGCTTTCCAATATATTCAATATCTTCGTGTCGAGCTAGTACAGACCGATTGATTTCTTTGCAATCGCTTCTTCCAGATTCAGCACTGTTCCAGGTATTTGTCAATCTTTTATGCGTTGTAATCCATCCACTTGATTGCTCTAATTCTATTCAATTTAGTAGATTTTTGTGGACTTGTTCACATAGTAGTTTGGATGAGTGTATCTGTCTCAGCTCAGTAGGGATTCTGGATCCTGGCAGTTACCATATTATCAAACCCAACGTTGGTTCGTTGTAGTGCAAAAATAATGAAGCTACGTTTCATGTGCTAAGAGAAGAGATTCTTTGAAGAAATACATACATATTTTACTTAATTGATAATGTGTAGGAAGATGGAATCGAACAAATAAGTGGAGGAAAGAAGATGATAATAAGAAAGTTGGGATGTAGTTACTGAAATTCGACAATTATGACCGTGGCGATTTTTGAGACGTGCGTCAGACACAGCCGTTTCAAGAGAGAGATTGTAATCCATTGGTGAGTGAGTGTTCGTCAACTCTTCTGTTGAAGCTATCAACTGATGAAGCTATGGTCACTAAAATTAGATTATTCATCAAGACGCGATCGACTTTCGAATGTAGTTTATACTGAATCTAGTTTAACTCATCATGACAGAGTCATAGTTGGAGATACATTAATTATTTTGGGGTAGACTAAGCTGTTAAACATTATAGTAAGGCTTCCCACGGGGATACACTGCTCTCAGCATGAAACTTCTTTTAAAAAGTGCTGAAAGCACTATAAGTGAATACAGGATAATTGATAGTACTATGAATATATCTATTACGAAAACTACTGGAATCTTATCACATGTTTATTAACATATTTTTTGCACCTAAACAAACCAACATACTTGCTTTAAGAGTGGACGAACTTATTTTGGTTAAGGTACATTAACATTTACTCTTACCAAAATGACAGGAAGGTTGAAATTACCCGCAAGCCTCAGTTGGAAAGTTGTTTTGGATCTAACACAATGAGACAAATAATAACAACCAAACGAACACGAACTGCACGAAAATTGTTAAAGAATAACGTTTAAAAAAGTGGGGAATAATTGCACCGTTGAGGTTACCACGAATGTTGAATGTTTGTCAATACTGTTGCCCATGACACCTTTGTAGTCAAAAGTCACAAATTTAACCAAACTAAAATGACAGAGTTCGTCGATATGTTGAGAAGTATGTGATCTATGATAACCAGCTGTTGCTATAAATGCACAGTACAGCGCTCTCAATGTTTATCTGGTGCTAATGCTTGACCGAGCGAACTTATCAAAGGTTTGTTCAGTTTACCAGCATCAATATTCGAGGCTTGATCAATTACTTATTTTAGGGCTTATTTAATGCTACACTATGAATATTGCTCTAAAAAGAATTCATCGGTAAAGCCAAGGATCACAATGCAACCTCGAATTACGCAGAGCTAGTATTTAGATATGTTTATGATGGAAACCTGTCGTTGTTCGATTTTTAAATGATTTCGCTCATTTTAATTTAATTCAGTTGAATTTCGCATGCTCTCTGAAGACTAACCTGTTATCCAATTTTACCTCCACTCCAGAACACGAAAATTTCACCTATGAGTTTATGCAGGTTTAAGGTATATTTTGGGAGTTTTGATAAAGTTACTGCACTTCCAAGCACACATAAAATTGAGTCTTTTCACCGTTGTCATTTCCACTACAAATTATTTTACTTTCTAATCTTAAGTCTGAGGATTGAGACGAAATGATATTTTGTTACTACAATAAATATATTCTTATTAAATTTTGGGTAAGATGAGAACCGGCGGTTTCCACCTGGACTGGGTTAAGCATGAAGAGCAGCATAGACCTACCTCCAACTAAGGTATCTTTTATCTTCGAGACGTATTCGACTACGAAGTATACTTTTATGTCCGAATTTCTGGACCTCACAGATGATCGAGATACGAATATTTCACAGAATTACAACCTCAAACAAAGCAGTGTCTAGATCAAGCAAATTCTGAAACCGAGTGAGGATTTATTGACTATAGTTGCAAATCAACCGAAATACTTTTCTTTACCACAATTACACAAACATATCAATTACAAGCCTTCAGTTTTTAAGCATTCTACAGTTCAGGGGCGAAGGAATGACCAAAAAGCAGGGATGAAAGCAGAAGACTAAAGTCTACGTCATAAACAAAACAAGCTCACCCTTGAGAAAAATAAGTGTGTTAACGAAGCGTTTATAAGGGGTTGTATTTACGTTGACACTTCAGCATTTAGTTTTCAGTATTCGGAATAGTAGATTGACCGATCTGTGATAGCACCTAAAGTTTTTTTCACGTTCGGTTTTCGGTTTAGTTTTGAAAGTGTTCGTTAAAAGGGATGACATCACTGGTTCGAGTACGGTGATTCAGTTTCTGACCACTTGATATAAAGAGGAATTCCTCTCTTAGTTCATTTGGGTCTTTTCGTGGTGGTCTACGGAATAATTAGTCCTACAGAGAGTAACATAATTTAGGTTAATATTTTTTAAATTTATGCATTATGAATTTTGATCAGGGCGACATGTATGAGTTTCTTTCATTTCGAGGTTTTAAGGTTAATACTTTCTTGTATAAATCAAGTACATACCACTTTTAGTATGACAAATGTGAAGTTTAGTTAAAGCGTTCGTATTATGGGTTAGATGTCCATTTAGTATATCACACTGCTATGAAGATAACTAATGGTGAAAGATAGAAAAAAAAACAGGTTAGATTATATGTGGTTTAAAGATAGTAGGACTAGTAGCAAATCAAATGATATGAAAGAGTATAAAATTGTAGAATTTTTAGGGTGAGAAAAATAAAACACAGAGCAACTCACAAGATTTTCTGATCAATTTTGAGCTTCGTATGATCGGCCTTAGCAGATCAGCATCCATAAGATTACTGAGTTATCTGTCTACTTGCAATAGAAAAAAAGACATGACACTTAGGAAGAAAAATGTTTATTTAACCAGTAGAGGGATTTGGGAACTGAAAGTGAGGGTTAGGAGCATTAGGCCTGGATTAATGCACAATGAATAATAGGAAACGGCAAACCGTATGTCCTATAATTTAGTTGTATTCATATTAATAATAGTTGGGCTCGTTATATTCTTGTTCAGTCTAGAAATTAGGCGGTCCATAATAAAGTGCTTCATTGGTGGGCGGGAGTTCAAGGAAAGATTGAAGCTCTTTAGAGCCTAGAAACAGGGTTATTAGCCTTTTGAATCTGGTAAATGTGTCACAGTTACGGATAGGCAATGGCAACCTGTTCCACAATAAACTATACTGCACTGTAAAAAACTTACAACGCACTTGTTTTTGGTGTTTTACGGTGTGTAGTGTATATGCGTTGTTTCTTAGTCTATAGGCTGGGTCGTGAATCATAGTTGGGCAGGAGGTTAGAAATGAGAGTCCATATATCGCTTTGTAGAGAAATATTA